CAGCCCACTTCTTCAGGTGCTGTAGGGCTGTAGTCCACGAAAGCTTATGCTCTAATAAATTTCTTAGTCTCTAAGGTGCCACAAGTACTCCTGTTCTTTTTACAGTGGGGGGAGAGAACAACAGATCCCAGGCCCTCCAGCTGGAGTTTCCCTGCAAATGACCAGTGCTGAGATATGGACCCCACATCACACTGCACATGTGCAACAAATTCAAGTGCCGCAGACGGCCCAACTCCTCTCCGAATCGCCATTGCCCCAGCGCATGAGTCTTGGTCAGCTCCAAACATGTAGGAGAGCTCCCTGAGCAGGCAGCAACAGCAGTGCCTTATCTTTTCTGCAAGCCCAAACACCAGAGGGCATCAGCAGTGCATCTCTCTCTCCCACACACGGTGTTACAGCACAACACAGAGAAGCCTTCCTCCCTCCTAACATAGCTGGGCTGGTTATGGGTGACCCTGGGCCACTGAAGCAGGTCACCCATATTCCAGCCAATAGAGGGCAGCAGCAAGCCAGCACTTACGCACACACAACCTGGAGGTGACATTCTAGTTAGCGGTTGGGCCAAGAGCAGAACCCAGGTGTCCTGGTTCTGACTCACTGCGTGACATTGAGCAAGTCCCTTAGACCTTTCTCCAGATGTGACACAGCTAGAACAGGGGGTTGCATGCAGCAGGCTCAACAGCAAGAGGGAATGAAAGCTCCCTGGGGAACCTGGAACACACAGCCCAATGTCATTCCTGTTGCTATAGCAAACCCCAGAGCACCTGTAGATACTCAGCATGTATTGTCAGCCGCCCCTCACCACTGCAACTCAGAGCACTCCAGGGAACAGAGCCTGCAGCCCAGCTAGGCAGCCTCCCCACCTGTCCCTGTCCGGCCTGAGGAGGAGGTGGAGGAGGAGGGGTCTCCAGGGAGGGCGCCAAACAAGGGGAGGGAGTGCTCCGCCTGTGACCTGGCAGGAGCATGTGTGAGGTGACAGCAACAGGACGGCAAGCTAGGTTGTAGGAGGAGGATTAGGGCGCAGGGCACGGAGCGCACGGCAGGCAAGGAGCAGCCTGATAGGAGCCCGGTGCCTGGGCTGCCAAGGCTGGGGCAGCCTCACCCGGCACTGGTGCTGGGCTGGGTAACACACCGTGGCAGAGGCAATATGGGAGGTGGATTGTGGTGCTGCCCACACCCTCCCCCAGGCAGGTGCAGGATCCCACCTGCATGGCTCATGCCAGAGGGAGGGGGGAGAGCAGGGGCTTACTCTGCACCCGCAGCACGGGGCAGGGTGGGGGGGGAGGCTACTGAGTGCTGGGGGCGACACAGCCAGAGAGCGAGGGTGTGATGGGGGCCAGGGGTTGCGGAGCGCGCCCAGGCAGGGTCCCGGGGAGCCGGACACGGAGAGGGGCCCCCGCTCCCCCCCAACCCGGGCGCCGCGGCGGTACCTGTTGCCGAGTCCATCTTGCAGGGCCGGGGGCTCCGCGGCGGCTTGCGCTGAGAGTTGCCCATCCCTGGGCGCCGGTGGCTCCGCCCGGGGGGGTCACCGCGCCTCGGCGCCTCAGTGCCCCGGCTGCATCATTCCCCAGCTCGGGGGTCCAGTAGCGCCGCGCCGGGCTGAGGGGAGCGGCCTCGGGGGCGGGCGGGAGCCGGGGCGCGGAGCGGGCAGCCGGCCTTCATGCCGCCCCAGGCCAGGCCGGACCAGGGTGGCCCGCGGCGCGCTCCCCGGCCCCCGCGCCGCGCTCCGGCACGTCGGCGGCCCAGCACCGGACCCAGACAGGGGGCCCGCCAGACTGCGGCTCCCCAGCCGCGGCACGTTCACACCATGGGGACCTGCCGCCGAGCCGGACTCGCGCCGAGAGCGAGGGTCTCTGCAGCGCTCACGCCCACGGCGCCGGGGACTCGCCACTTGGCGCCGGAGCAGTCGCTCTGGACTGACACCCCATGGCCACGCTCCGGCCAGGGACACCTGGGAGGAGCCCCAGGGGAATCAGGTGTGGAACTGGAGTGAGATCGGAATCAGACCCTGCCCCTCTCCGGGGAGCCAGGCCGGTCACTGCTGTGCCGAGGGAGTCTCTACTGTTCGTGGAGCTGCGAAGCCGGATACCCAGGAGCTGCATCGCTGGCAGCCAATGGCATGGCTCCGTTCAGCAGCCCCATTAGGAATGTAAACGTGTGAGAGTGTGTGCACACCCCCACACCGAGCTCTGCTCCTCCGGGGCCGCTGCGGGCTTTGTAGGCTCGGGGGGCTGGGAGGTTCGGCTACTCCCTGCCCTGGCAGATCTGCGGGGGGCAGGACCCGAGCCTGGGCTGCTCCCCAACACTTCCAGACTTTGGTCTTGGAGATACCTGTGCCGTACTGGGAAATGGTGACCCTACAGCAAGTCCCATGGCCCCACCTGCTGCTCCCCCCAGGGCAAAGGCACAACTGAATTGAACAGGGATCAAGCTGCCCAGCCTCTAGGGACTGAACAGAAACCACTGTATCCATGTTTATCATTTGTCTAGCAGCAACCAAGTGAGACCAGGGCCCAGCACAGGCACCCAGCCAGGGCTCCTGCCCCAAAGAGCTTCCACTTTAACAGACAAAGAGGAGGAGGGGAAATGGAGACAGGAAGTGACCTGCATATAGAGCTCGGTGTCATGAGACCCAGTCTAGTGCTCCAGCATGGCAGGATTGTTCTGTGGCCAGCCCATGCCAAGGGGCATCATCAGCTAGAGAGCAAAAGGATGGCTCTCTGGAGTTTTACCCCTTGTGTTGGGGAGCCCATCCTGAAGATGTACTGCCACTGGCATGGGGAAGAGCTGAGGACATGAGCCCAGAGATAAGGCAGTGGGTGGGTTTGGAGGTCACTGGGGTCTTCTCTCCCTGTGGGAGCAAATACCCTGCAAATAAGAATGGACACCCCTGCATCTGTGTGGGTGTTGAGTTAATGGTGGGCCTGTGCTGGGGAGAATCACAGGGTGCCAGGGTCCCTAAGAACTGCACCTGGGGGTTATTCCTCCCAACACTAGTGCCGTTGCTGGGTGCCCTGGTAGCTCAGTGGATGTCAGGGGCAGGCCCAGCACATGCTGCAGGATCAATGGAAATACATTCAAAGGTGCCAGTCTCCTGCCATCCAGCCTGCCTGGTGCTGAGCATGCCCAGCCAGCACCCCCATCAGCTCCATATAGCAGGGTCACTGGTCAGAGGCATGGCCAAGGCTGCCCGGCCTGGACCTGATGTGAGCCAAGAGCTCAGCTTCTACCTGGGCTAGGAGAAGGCAGCCAGCGCAGATCACTGAGCACAAGAGCCTTGCGGAGCATGGGAATCCTTAGTGCTCTTGAGCGCACCCTCCTAGCGTCCCTTGGGAAGATCTGCATCGGCACCCCCTTCAGAGATAGGGGCATGTAGACAGAGGGGGGTTCTGGGTTATGCAGTGAGCTGGGCACAGAGCCCAGGAGACATCACTTGCCTCTCTGGGGAGCCCGGTCACTGCCTGGGACTCGTGTATTTGATAGTTCACCCCACAGCCCCCCCTCATAGACAGAAACACCCCACGCTCAGAGGAACTCTGGAGGCCTATGCAAACATCAGTGGATTTAACTTTCCCCTGACCACTTCCAATAGCTGTCCGACCCCCTAGGTGGCAGTTACAGAGTTAAAATACACCAGACAAAACTCTGCCCTCAGCCCCTCCAACTGGAGGGGCGGTGGGCTGCAGGCAAGACTGAGAAGCACTCACACAGCTGGGGGGAGGGAGGTCAGTGCTGGAATAGCAGGGGCTGTGGTTTGGGACTGAGGGGCACCGACAGAGCTGGGGGCTGCGGGGAGCCCAAGGGCCTGCAGGTAAGGACGACGGGTGCCGTGTTGGTGGGGAAGCTCCCATTGCCCCTTCCCCCGGAAAACTGGGCACTAATCACTGCTATTAGCCTCTCATCTTCACAATCTCTAAAACTCGTCAGCTCCACTCAGGCATGCAGGGAAGAAAACTAGACTAATGCCTTCCAGGTGGGCGGTGCAGCAGCAGCTGAGCCAGAATGATCTGAACTCACCGGCACCGCCCCACAGGGCAAGGAGATGGGGGGGCTCACTGGCAGAGGTTGGGCCCATTCCCAGCCTGCAGGGTCTGGGAATTATTATTTGTTATCAGAGCCTGACTCTCTTTCCCAATGTGATGAATTTTGTGGAGCACTTAGACGCCAAATCTCAGCGTCTCTGTAACAACAGAAAGGACCAGAAAGCACTGGGAGGTTGTTATGGAAACAGGAACAAATTGAATCAGTACTTAGCATAAGTTGGCAAAAGAAATTTCCTCTTTGACTGACGTGGGCACAGGTGGGCGTGAATGGCTGCAGGTGTGCGTGGCAGCCCTGCACCCGAGCATGGGTGCGGCAGTGTCACCCAGCCACAGGACATGCTGCACCAACCCTCTGCCCCACAGGATACTTCAGTACAGCAACTTGCAGCTTGATTTCAACAACGATTGCCCATCTTTGCAGGAACCTTCTCCCTCCCCCAGAAAGAAAGCGGCACTGGGGCTAGACAGTCTGTATGTCCCATTTAAACACTCAGGCCTTGAGACTGAGCAACACTCAACCAGAGAGCCTGCAGGCAGGCTCAGACCAGTCCCAATCAAGGCCAATCTCAGCCCAAGCCAGTTGGCCACTCCTTACAGCAAGGAACACTCAGATCTGCTTCCAGTCGAGGGCAGCACAACTCCCCAGGCTGTCCAGCATCTGGGGGACTCCACCCAGACAAACCTGCGCAGATGCTCGCGTGGAGGAGAGGAAGCTGCTTCTGCCTCTCCCATATCATCAGAGTTTGACAATTGCTCTAGGCCATGACTGATCAGCCTTCGGAAGCAGCCGCCACTGGAGCTCTCCCCTCTGGCCTGTACACTTCTTCTGTTACAGGTTTCTACCCTTGGGGGCAATGTACATGGGAGAGGGCACAAGGGAACCATTGTGGAGAGTCTAGGAGCAAAGAGTCGCGCTACCCTGCGAGGTCATCAGCTGAATGAACCTTCTGCATGTTGAGGAGTTTGCAGCCATGGTGCAGTGTCCTGTCGAAGGTTCACCGCCCACACAATTGGGCAATTCAGTCTGCAGTTCAGGAGGCCTCTGGACTCCTCGCTGGTGCTGAGCTCTCACATAGCAGCACCTGTGAGGAACGCTTTCTGTCACTTCTGGTTGGCTAGGACGCTCCAGCCCATCCTGTTGGATGTTGACCCAGCCTCAGTCATTCATGCCTTCATCCCCACTGGGCTGGGCTACAGCAATGCAGGGCACCTGGGCAGGAAGCCATCAGTACTTAGGAAACACCAACTAATACAAAGCGCTGCAGAGCATCTCCTCAGCAGCACAAGCTTCCTCCGAGCTGTCCTCCCATAGACTAACCCTGACTCCCCATAGAATAGCAAGTCAAGGTTTCGGTCCTGATCTTCAAGGGACTCCAGTCAGCCTCACCTCAGTCCCTGGAAAAATTATGGAGCAGGTCCTCAAGGAATCAATTATGAAACATTTAGAGGAAAGGAAAGTGATCAGGAACAGTCAGCATGGATTCACGAAGGGGAAGTCGTGCCTGACTAACCTAATTGCCTTCTATGATGAGATAACTGGCTCTGTGGATGAGGGGAAAGCAGTGGATGTGTTATTTCTTGACTGTCTCCCACAGTATTCTTGCCGCCAAGTTAAAGAAGTATGGGCTGGATGAATGGACTGTAAGGTGGATAGAAAGCTGGCTAGACCCTCGGGTTTATTGGATAGAGCTCACTGTCTCCACGGCGAATTCTATGGAAGTTTCAAGTGGAGT